CCCCAAAACCCCAAAACCCCAAAACCCCAAAACCCCAAAACCCCAATTTTTAATAATTTTAATTCAAAATTAGAAAATATTTGCAAAATGAGCTCAATTTATTCTCCAAATTTTAAAACTTTTGGTAAGGTTTGGCACTAATCAATGCAGATAACCAGAAGGATCAAGGACACAGAGAGAGACATAAGTTTGCTACTCAGACCCATATGAATGACCTCCTGGGTAAGTCCAGTTTCTTATCAATAGACATGGCAAGGAACAATCTAGATGGCTTGAATAGCTCAATGAACAGATCTAGAGAGCGGGACTATGAAAATATACCAAAGAGCAAGCTTAACATGTACAAGTTTCTGGAATACAATAGACCGCCGTCAACTCCTTCTGCTAAGTTCAGGATGAGGGATAACTATATGGGATCGAAAATAGGTAGCCCAATCTCGAGAGCGGGCGATAGTATAAATATTGATAATATCAATAACCAATCATACCTCAGCGTAGAAGGATCCCCGGCTCAAGAGGCTACATATGAGGGACTGCCTCCTAAAACTCCATTAGGGCTTGCTAGTCCTCAGATAAATAGTACGGAAATTTTTAAACCTCATAGATGCTGATTTAAATCATCATAGTATCAGCATCAAGTTAGCTAATCAAGCTCAGATCCTACAAGACAAAATCGAACTGGAGTTCAAGGGTCAGATGGCTGCATCCAAAGAGGAGATGCTGTTCCTTCAGAAAGAAATGACCGATAACATCAAACAAGATTTGAAAAAGGCTTCAGAATGAGCAGATGATCTAGAAACCCTCCAGAAGAAATTCGATGGTATAGTCTACTGAGTAATCATACAGAGTACAAAACAGAGACGACAGGCCGTCTAGACTTAGTCCTTAGAGAGATTGAGTTAGTCAAGGCTGAGAACAACACACTTCGTGATGAAGTTATCAAAAGTTCTCATAAAGTCGATCAAGTCGAGAAGATCAAGCACCAGGTAGATGATTCCCTCGGATCTCTTGAAGAGACTCTCAAGCGGGATCTGAGGCCTATGATAGATGAAATAACAACTCAGTTAAATCAATTGGAGAATCAATTCAAGAATGACTCCAGACAGAAGGATACTAGCATTAGGACTCTTGTAACTTCACTTGATGAACACGTTGATACCTTCAATAAATATAAGAAAGATACACAGAAAAAGCTGACGAGATATATCAACAGTGAAGGTTTAGATGACCTCAGAGTAGAGCTCTCTAAAGGTACATTTCTCCAATAATTTCCAGATTATATCCACAAGATCAACAAAAATGCAAAGGAACTGGAAGTTAATTTAGAAGACCAGCGTGTCCAAGTTCAGGTAACGGCTGAGCATAACTCTGTAGGACATTCAAAAGAGGCTTGGCAAGAGAATAGATACTCTTGAAGAGACCTCGAACCAAGTGCTAGACCAGATAGATACCCTCAAAGGAAGAGATCTCAGTAGGAGCTCTGCTCCTAAAGAGACTCCAGGCATGCGCCAACTTGAAGGAAAAGTGAAACGTCTTCAAGATGATGTTGAGGATATCAGCTTTAAGGTCAACCAGCTTGACAAAAAGATCGATGGGTAAGATTTTATAGTAAATTTTAGGGCCAATTCTCTTAATCTTATCAGGAACGATAGCCAGATGATCCAAGAAACCAAACTCAAGAGCACAGGTCTCAGGATCCCAGAGAATTCTTCTGAAGATGAAGAGGAAAAGGTACAAAATCTAACTCAAAAGTATCAAACCAAGCTTGAAAAAGTGGACTCATTCAACGATTTGGAGGAAGTACAATTGGAGGAGGACAAGCCCAGTTTAATGAAGAAGGACAAGAGCTCTAACTCGATATGGGGAACCAATAATAGACCTAGTCACTCCTCCAGACCATCTGCATCTCAGAGGAGCAGTAGAGTCTCTAGTAAGAAATCTTCAAGACCTTCTAAGAAAACTGAGGAGAGAGTTGAGCCATTTAAAAAGTCTGAACCTTCCTTAAAATCTGAATCTAAAGAGGAATCTAAAAAGGTAGAAACTGTACAGAAGTTTGAAATGTTTGATGAAGAAAAGAAAAAGAAGCAGCTTGCTGAAAAGATTGCTCCTTCTCAGAGGCCCGAACCTACTCAGAAGGCTGTGTCACATCAGAAAACAGGACCTGCTCAGAACACAGGGTTCTTAGATAACCTAGACTCAAGCTTTAACGAAGAAGATAGTGAAGATGAGAGGTATAGGTATCTTTAAACCCTCTATAGTGGATTAGAGAGTTCCAAAGGAGGTGTCCAATTTTTCGGAAATCAAAATAAGCTTAGCAGTAACGGCTGTCTCTAACCTATAGCAAATACTGCAAGCAAGGCTCCAGCTCAGCAATCTCAGAAGGAAATAGAGAGAATAACTAATCAATTAATCGAAGATGAGATTAGCAAGAGTATGGCCAAGCACAAAAACATCACCCAAGCTCATGAGCTGATTAACCCAGTTAGAAATAGAAATGTGCCTTCTTGGAGAAGCCAGATCGAGCCTGTATCTCAAGTAGACACCAAGCCGAAAGCTTTTGAGTACAGAGGGATCAGAAGGCAAACAGAGAGTATCCAAAATCCCAAGAACGACTTCGGTGACTGGGATGTCACCAATAATGACCAGAGGCAGTCAGATCCAAGCGATTTTCAGGCCAAGCAAGAGGTTGACTCTGAAAGCATCGAAGATGATTGGTGAGGATATCTAATAATCTATAGGGACTATGAGCCTGAAGAAAAAAAGACTAAAGCACAGCCAGCAGCCCAAAGGAACCAAGATATGTACAACAAGCCCCAACCAGCTTTCAATAGACCCCAGCCAGCTGCTAGCAAACCACAAAAAGAAGCAAAGCCAAGAAATAGTGGGTTTGATTATGGAGGTCTAGATGACTTCGATGAAGAAAGCATGGATCACTCAGTAGAATCAGCCTCTGATGACTACGATTGGGGATCAATGGAATTTTAAGCAGACGTATACCTTTCTTAGTAACCCAAAAATTATAATAGAGTATATTCTGCTGAAAGGGGTTTTGGGGTTTTGGGGTTTTGGGGTTTTGGGGTTTTGGGG